TTCAATATGTCCCTTTCTCAGTGCTTGATAATTACACAGTGCGAAAAAATGAAAGAATACACTGATGCCATTCCAAAATTTAAAAGTGAATTCACAATAGCATTAGAGACAGCAACCAATTCTAGAGGCATCACACTATGCCACTACGAATAATTTTCAATAGGTTCAACACTGAAAAATAATCTTTCTGAAGGACTGCTGGAAGAAAAAAATGAAAAAAAGACGAGAAAGCGACGAGAGAGAGAAATGCGAGCAGAGAGAGAGAGAAAAAGCGGAGAGAAGAGAGAGAGAAAGCGAGAGAGAAGAAAAGCGGAGAGAGAGAGAAAGCGAGAGAGACGAGAGAGAGGAAAGCGAAGAGAGAGAGAGAGAAAGCTGCAGGGAGAGAGAGAGAGAAAGCGAGAGAGAGGAGAGGAAAGCGAGGAGAGAGAGAGAGAGAGAGAGAAAGCGAGGAAAGAGAGAGAGAAAGCCGAGAGAGAAGAGAGAAGCGAGGAGAGAGAGAAGAAAGCGAGAGAGAGAGAGAGAAGCGAGAGAGAGAAGAAGAAAAGCGAGGAGAGAGAGAGAGAAAGCCGAGAGGAGAGAGAGAAAAGCGAGAGAGAGAGAGAAAGCGGAGAGAGAAGAGAGAAAGCGAGAGAGAGAGAGAGAGAAATGCGAGAGAGAGAGAGGAGAGAAAGCGATGAGAGAGAGAGAGAAAGCGATGAGAGAGAGAGAGAAAAGCGAGAGAGAGAGAGAGGAAAGGAGAGAGAGAGAAAGCGCAGAGAGAGAGAGAGGAAAGCGAGAGAGAGAGAGAAAAGCGAGAGATGAGAGAGAAAGCGAGAGAGAGAGAGAAAGCGGAGAGAGAAGAGAGGAAAGCGAGAGAGAGAGAATGCGAGAGAGGAAAGCAAGAAGAAAAAAAGCAAGGGAAAAAAAGAAACAACCAAACCATCTGATGGCCTCGATGAATAGAAAGATAACAAATAAAAGATTGATTCTTTTAGGAAGTGCTGGTGGTTAAGTTTAAAGTGAAAAAAAACTTTGAAATACTTTAAAATGATTAACTTACATTGATTCCTTCAATCAGGAATATTTCAGTTGTTTTACATGCTATTTTTAGCCGGAAATAAAGGCTTACTTGTTATCAATTACTATTGTGGCATCTACGTACCATCTCGAAGTTAACAATAGGGCTCACACAGTGACACCTATGGATCATTCTCTTGAGTTGCATTTAATATCAAGTAGTTGATATGGTTAAGATTCACAAGAGTACTTACATGCATGAAAATATGAGTGTATATTACAAAACTAATGAATTTAAACAGTGATTTTTTTTAATAATTTTTTTTTAGTTGTAGTAAAACATCTCTATTGGTCGCTATGGGCAACCCACTATTAAATGTTAGAAATAGACAAATAAAATTACAAAATTATAGAAAAAGTATTGCGTGGATTAAAGAGGAAATGAATGGAATATAAGAACAAATTACAAACAATAAAAAGGGCATTTTGTGGAAGTGCAGACATACCAAAGAAGCATAATCCATTAGCTACTAAGATTTTCATAAGAAAGGGTTATTGGGTAAGGGCTGTGTAATTATACATAGCCAAATATGCAATTACACAACATCTGTGGATAGTGAAAAGACATAATGGGTTTGATTTAGTATAAATTAATTAATTATTGCGACTAATATAAATTATACTTATTTAAGAAAAGTAAGTATTATCGCTTCAGTAACGCACAAAACTATGAATGTGTTGAACATCCCCAATTCATTATACAACCTGCATATGCAATTGCAATTCATTCCATGGATAGGCAATTTCGGATACCTCTTCTGCAAATATGACTTCCTTCAGCAATTGCATTTTAAAATTTTACAAAATAAAAACATTTACTAACGTTGATCTTAAAAAAAGCAAAAAACCAGCTCAAAATCAAAGTTTTGCACTGTGATTTCCTTCATGAATGTCAGAATAATACATTTTTGAATATTGAATTGCATTATATATAATATGCTGCTCTCAATGAGAAATTGCCAAGGTCCCCAAACAAAAAATTTCATGCTTGCCTCACTTAATATACGGGAAGGACTTGTTAGATGTCTTTAAATATGATGAAGAAAAAAAAAAAAAACAAGACTTTTAAAAAAAAAAAAAAAAACCCCCCAAGTGTGCCTAACAAGTTCTATATTCTTTTAGGTCCGCCTGGTTTTCAGGTCTTTCTCATTCCTTTTGCCAGCCTGCCACTAATACCACCCAAGGTACATTTTTTACTCTCCCAATATTTTTACTCCTAATAGTCGAAATGAAAATATTACTTTAAGCAGCATTAGAGAAGAGTTAACCTACAAGAAACATTGTTTTGAAAAATTTGGAGACTGTTTTAAGGAAAATGGCTTTTATGCATTTCTGTACCGATTTGAGATTGTTTTCAACAGAAAATTCTGAGCCTTTCAAAAAGCTTTATTGGAAATAATTGAAGGACTTCCACTCACAAATGCAATAGTGCCTCAACAACTCACTGGAAATGTGCATTATAAAGGTGGGAGATGAAAAAAGAAAAAAAAAAAACATCTCCTCATAAATGCCAATTAGAAGGTGCTACAGAAATTGGCACAGACCTCACAGTTTTCTAATTGCTGCTGGTCTGTCGCACCTCTCTGGTTGCTGCCCAATCCTCTTCCCACCTGACATCTAACACTGCCCAAAATTACAGTTTTTTGAAGTTTCTCAATTTTTAGATTACTAATCAAGAATGAAATATTACAATTAGAATTCTATAGAAGAAGTCAAACCTCATCTTATGTGAAAATTGTCATTGAAAAATATTGGAACCATTTTTAAGAACATTGTTTGTTTTAAGAGTGTTAGTGAGGAACGCACCCAATTTGAAAGCTCTTTCTCACAGAAATTTTTGACTTTATGAAAACTAATGAACGTCATTATGAAGCAATTTCACTCACAAATGCCAATAAATGTATATAAATTCCTGGAAATGTGCGTATTAATGCAGAAAGATATTTTAAAAAAAATGATAATTTGTGTAATTTCTGAAATAAACAAAGAAATACCAGCCAAAATACATTTATGATCATCTTAATGCAATAAGCACTATGCATTACAGAAGTTTGGGAAAAGAAAAGTCCAAGTCAGTTTTGGGAGAAAACACTATTTAAAATAATACTCTGAACACACAAATTGAGCTCATTTCGCCAGAAAAATTTATGTATTCATATAAAAAAAACTTATAAAAACATCATTTGAAGCACACATAAAAGCAATTATATGAACAAATCAACTGTATTATGTCAATGTTAATGAAGTTAACGAAGTCATGTTAAAAAAGAAATTAAAGATTTATTTGGTGATTTTGAAAAAACAAAATAGACAATATGGTTGTTTATGCTATTCTTATAATATATTTAGCCATTAACGCTCTACCAAACTTTGAAAAAAAATTGAGTTTTTGAGAAAATTCTTGTTTTTGTATAACTTTTCAAGAGTGCACAAATTGCAAGCAATATTTGTGCGAAAACTACTAAAATATTTTAAAAAATGTACTTAACCTTATGAAAGAAACACACTGTGGGGGTATTCTTGAATTTTGTAATAGTACGGATAAGCCAAAAAACTTGACATTTTTTAAATTCCTAATTAACAATGAAAAAATGGACTTTATTCCATTATAAGTGTATTTTACTCTATTCTTTTTGAAAAATTGGAGGGCATGTTTGGATTTGCATTGCAAATTTGTCGTCATTTTTTGAAGTGAAGGTGTGAGTTGGTGGAAAGACATTCCCAGTAACACTGATTTCAAATAAATGAAACTCCAAAATCACAGCACAACACCCACCAAAACCTTCAAGTTGTTAAATACAACAATTGTTAACAAAGTAATTTCGAATTACTACATTACTCCGTAGCTATGTACTATACGAAAAAATAAAAATAATAGAGTTGGAAAAAATTGATAACAATAATATACCAGTTATCACCAAATGAAAATGCCCCAACCTTTTTTTGGCGTTTGAAATTATAAATATAATTCATTATGTTGTTGAAAATGATCCTGGGATTCATGCAAAGTACCCCCAAATTTTAAGTTTTTCAAAATCACAAAGCTGTGAGAGGTACCGAATCAACTGGAGAATATTCATTTTGGAAAAAATTGTACATGCCGTTGAGCTTTTAGTGTTGTTTACAGATGGATGTTTTGAAGAAAAAAAAAACAACACTATTTTGGTATTGAGGACCTACAATTTTTGAAATCTGACAACATATTGACAAGTTTGAAAATGTCCCTGAGATTTCATGAAAAGTACCCCAAAAATTAATGAATGTTTTTCAAATTCGCAAAGCTTCGAGTTGAGCCAGATCGACTAGGGAATATCCATTTTGAAAAAAAATCCTACATGTTTAGGTGCTAGCAGGGTTCACAAACAGACAGACATTTTATGAAAAAATTATTTTGTAAGGGCTCACTACTAGTGACATGTGACTACTCAATGTGTTAGAGGGAGTCATTTACTACATTTTGGAACAGGATTTATTCACTCTTTCTGTATCAGAGCCTTACACATTTTCTGTCAAAACAATCACTGCTTGTGTGCTGTAGCATTATATAACTTTCTCTATACTTCGTACATTACTCCATATTATGAATGTATATGACAAAAGTAAATATAGAGTGGAAAAAATGATATCAATAATATACAGTTTATCACCAACTGAAAATGCCCCAAACCCTTTTGGGTATGAAATATAAAATTAACTCATAAACCGTTCATTGCATGTTTGGATTTGCTTTCACATTCCTCCATCATTTTTTGAGTGAAAGTGTGATTGGTGAAATATAATTGAATAAATTGAACCTCCAGATCACAGCACCAACACCACCAAAACCTTCAATTTGTTAATACAACAATGTTAACAAAGTAATTTCGAATTCTATTCCCATGATCAAGTCTCTTGATGTTCAATTGAACTTTAGTGTTCGAAGAAACACGAACATGCTATCTCACCTTATAAGACGGTCTAGCTTGATTCGCCGCGCAGCAGATGCCACATCCCAACCTGTAGCTTGCAGAGCTGCCAAACTTTCCTCCTCACGTGCATCACCAACTTCTGCAGTTAACTGAGCTACCTTTCCAGCACGGAATTCTCCACTTAATGACATCACCTGAATATTGTACAATACTATCTCACTATTTGCCACACAACATGAATTTCATGTTTCAAACTAATATCTTTCATATTATTACTTCCAAATACAGACAACGAAAAATATTATTAATCTGGGTGCATATGCAGGAAGTTTGAAATTGTAATTAGAATCTTTGCTTTTGTGACATTCTGAAGAGAACAGGGAGACTTTCATTTCAGAAAACTGAGATGATACATTGATGAAGCATTTTAATGGGCTGACAATTATTTCCTGTTATTTAACTTAAGGTGGAGAATAGGACTACGGGCATTCAGACCATTTAGTAAATGACCAACTAGATGCTAGAGACTTGGTAGCACCACAACTATCGATTCAAATAGTCAATAGTCTTCTGTTCTATTGTGAACGCACCAATACCAATTAAATGATTGAATTGCAGCATTCTAAAAAGGTCCCATGGATATGGACTGATAGGATTTTTACACATTTCTTTTGTAAGGCCACAAGAGCAATGATATGTTTGGACAAGATTTAGGGGTTAGTTGCACACAATTTTCATGTACAACACTCACCAACCGGTAGGTATCGGGATTAAGCAACTGTGAGGATTCTTGCATACCAAGTATGCCTCCACCACCACCATCACCACCACAATTATCACCACAACCACCACCACCATCTCCTGAAGCTGGAGACAATCCATTACCAACCTGCTCTTGATTTCGAACTCCAGGTTTTGAAAGGCCTGGAAGAAATCCAGCTGAGTGACTCTCAGAACTGCTACTTTGTTCCAAGAATACAGTTGAAGATGGTCGAGTTTCTGCAAATTGTTTAAAGGTTTTTGTAATCATTTAGCATATCATAAAAATCTGGTGAATGTATTATTTTAAAAATTGTTGACAAAGTTGGTAAATAACAATATCTTTTGTTGAAATCAAAATTCGTCTGATGATAAAAGTGGCAAGAATTATTTAAAGATATTAAGAAATTATTGTCAATAAAGAAAACATTACAATATTATGAAAAATTCTTTAACATATTCAGGTTCCTGCCCATGGAAATCCACACGCACTGACATGTCCCCTTAAATTACAATGCCCGTAGAATCTACGAGCATGTGATTCATACTGTGTATTTGCTACACCATTTTTCCAATCACTAGCTATTCATGGAGGTTTCTACACCAATGAAGTAACTAAATACATTTCTAAATTTTGTTTGCTGCTATTTCATTGGTAGTAAATAACTTTGGAATACAAGAATGAGTATCCCTCCTGCAGTGACACCTAGGAAGCACTGTTCATATTTACAACACCAAAGCCAACTATTGAGAATATACAGTAATGTTTTCTTTATTACTGCAATAAACACTAATGTAACGTAACATTTAATGTTCTCATATTAATCAAATTTGTAAGAATTTAATTCAAATAAATATGATAAACCTTTTTTTGGGACTCACTTCTTGTGTTATTTGTATTAAAATATCTTTTTAAATTAATGAATGTAAAACATCCAAAATGGAACTTCCATAAAAAAAGTGTTACAAGTTTGTTGCTTGTAAAATAAAAATAAGAAAGGAATCTTGCTCTTGTGTGAGTGAGTGAGTGAGTGAGTGAGTGAGAGTGAGTGAGTGAGAGTGGAGTGAGTTGAGAGGTGACGTGAGTGAGAGAGTGAGTGCGTGGCGTGCTATTGGTGGGGGTGGGTGCTTGGTTGAGTGGCTATATATTTATGAGAGTGAGTGAGATGGAAGTGTGAGAGTAGTATGAGTGTCTGAAGAGTGTGAGCGCGTGAAAAGGTCCGAGCATGTGAAAGAGTGTGAGCGTGTGAAAGGGTCCGAGCGCGTGAAAGAGTGTGAGTGCGTGAAAGAGTGTGAGCGTGTGAAAGAGTGTGAGCGCGTGAAAGAGTGGGAGCGGGTGAAAGAGTGGGAGCGGGTGAAAGAGTGGGAGTGTGAGAAAGAGTGTGAGTGTGAGAAAGAGTGTGAGTGTGAGAAAGAGTGTGAGTGTGAGAAAGAGTGTGAGTGTGTATCTGCTCATGCACATTTGTGGGTGTGAAGTTACCCCTTATGAAATTATAAAGACCCAGGGAATGGCAGTTTTACCACTGGATACAGTTACTTGATATGAAAAGAATTTTTGAAAAGTTGAGTATATCCTCCTTAAAAAGTAGTTTAGAATGAATAAGAAACAAGCAAATAAGCAAAGAGAAAAATGATTCTTACACAAATATTTACTTACCGCTGTGAACACTAGTTGTCTTGATAGCATATATGTCATCCTTGACACAACTGGCTAAAGTACCATAGGTCTGCGTGCAGCCACTTGTGGTGCCTTGGAAACCTCGTTGCCTTGATGTATTTGCCAGATTAGGTTGAATATTTGATGTTTTGGAGGACCAAGTAGGAACAGTAGAATTCTGTACTTTCGCAGGTACAGTTGAATAATATGGCTGCCGGCCCAGAGGTGAACTCTTGTGAGAAAGCTTGCCTGAAGGTGGTGGTGGTCGTAAAGGTGGGATCACAGGACCGCTCTGAGCACTTGGCAGAGACACCGTACTGGTGCTATGAACTAGTGTATTGGTCACTCTGCTGCCATTTATAGAGCTAGACACCTAAGCAAATATAAAACAAAAAGGTTGTATGTGTGTTTATATGCATGTATTCTTAATATAATATAATAAACAAAACACTAGCTTGAAGCTGTTCTCTAAGAACTAGTTACTTCTGAACCTTTCTCACATTGTTACAAATAGATTCAATGCAGTCTAGCAGTGTATAAAGAAATTGCATACAGCAGTGCGACTCAAATATGACCAGTGGTGGATCGACTGTTCATGGCTCAAATGTTAGCTGATTGCAGTGAAATTGTTAAACTGTTTGAAGCACATACTTAAAGTAGATATTTCAAACTTTAATTTAATATTAACTACAAGTACTTTGGAGGAAAAATCACAACACTATGAACATTTGCAAATTGTCTGTTTTCTTTTTTTTTAGTCAAAGAAGTAATATTTTATGATCGTGGCATTGTTATGGAGTATACACCATCTGTCTAACATCCCTTGAAAAAAATAAAAGAAAAATTCCTTTGTTTCTAAAAGAAGCTCAAAATGGGGTTTTTAAGGGGTCTATAGCACCCCTAAACCCACTTTAAATTCTGTTCCTTTGGTGCACATTGAAAACTGTGTTACATTCAAAACTAACATTTTTCTTCTAAGCCATTGAAATCTATTTTTTTTAAGCCTAAAGTATGTATGCAAGATAAAATAAAGACCCTGTTTATCTAAGACACCACAGTATATTTACTACATGGTAATTAAGAAAAACATTTAGGGTATACCACCTCCCAAAAATCATTATGTATTACAGCTTTTCTTGAATCTATACTTCCACTCTTTCTGTCTAATTCAAGATTGAATGGATAATTTATAAAACTACATTCACTTACTGTGTTTGTATTTGCATTGGCTTCCTTTTGTCCAAGATGCTTCTCCAAAGTAGCCAAAAAAGTTGGATCAAACATCTGACTGGAAGCAGGTGAAGGAGCTATCACATCATTGTCAGTACTAAAATTACTACTAAATTCATGACTCACTACTTGAGCTGATCTACTTTCAGAAAACATGTCTCTCCTTGGCCAAGTGGCACTGGGAACAGTATTACCACACTGAGATACTGATAACTGCTCAAATCCAGAATTCAAATCTGCATAACCCCATACATCACCATTTCTAGATGACACAGATATGTCCTGCACAGCACTATTTTCAGTCACTTGTGCTGTGTTTGCCACATTATGAGAAGTTAGTGTTCCATACGTTTGTGAACTAAAATGAGGATCAAACTCTGCACTAATGTCTGGAGAAAATCCTAAAGTACCAGAACTGAAACTACTCCTTCTCCCAGGACTATTGTTCATTAGAGAAGAGCCAGATGCAAAACTTTGTGACAAAACACTGGAAGAGAATCTGGCACTAAATGGAAGAGTAGCAGCATGAAGGCCACTAGAAGCTGAATTGTTTTCCCTCACTACACTATCACAGAAGCTTGTGGCGTTCACTAATTGTGATGTTTCTTGAACCAATTGAGGCACAGGAAAAACAGCTGTTGCTGCCGCTGGTGATGAGAATGAAGCACTCTCTGATACATCAGAAAGAGGATTTTGCACATCAGATGTTGACTGCATGCCATGTAATGAACTGCATTCAACAGGAATAAAGTCAGTCAATTCAGAACTGGCAAGATGATTCATGTTGTTTTGAGACACATCTTCCATCACACTATACTGCTCCACATTGAGATAAGTGCTTGCATTGTTGCTTGTAATTGATGTTGTATGACCAACTATTTCTGGAGTGACACGTGAGTAGTATCGGCCATAGATACCAGATGTATCAAAGGGATCAGGGCTTGTGGGTCGCTGGTTTGTGTCCACATTGGAACTAGCCCCCACGGGAGAGTAAGGACAATTCTGATAAGTATGGCCCCAAGCTTGATTATCTGGAGAAAAAAAGAGAAAAAAAAAATCTTAGGGGTGATGGTAATGAGAATGTTTCATAAATTATTAGTGTGTATATTATTTATGAAATAATATTCAAATTCCTACTTATATATAATTTCTGAATCTTACAAATTTTTGGATGAAGATAATTAAAATTTCATACTCGAACTGTTGAAAACAACAAACCAATCAATGCAAATTGTATTTTCAAATTGGTATATTAACAGTTAACACATTAACAGTAATACACAGTGAGAACAATATTACATGATCCTTAAAACTCGAGTACTAAGAAATACAGTGAAAAAATACTCACATGAAATTTTGTGAAGATATCATTAATTATAAAAATAAAATGTAAATATAGAATTTATTAGTACATATTATTATATACCTATAATATGAACCAAGCAGGAAGAAATAATTACCGTTTGAAATCAAATATTATTTTCCTTATTCATAATTTAAACTTACCTTCTTCAGTCCCTTCAATGGGTTCATCTAGAATGGATGTAGCTACATTTCCTGTCAAGGACACTTGAGTTGGGCTAGGAACAGAGCCACTAGGTGTTCCTCCACTGCCTGATAAGTCAATAAGGATTCCTTCATTCCCTGGCACTGGCATACCCTCTGGATCACCCAAGCTAGGCAGTTGGCCAGCTTTCATTGGACCCTTGGCCCCAGGAAACATGGCGAGAGGAGATACTTCACCCATATTTGATGATTCATTAGTAAGTTTTGAGTAATTAAACTGTTGCTTGTTTCTTGGAACCTCTGAAATTATAACACATTTTTTAAAGACCAAATTACACATTTGATGAGTTTCCATCAAATTACTGAATTTTTTTCTTCCGCTACACTAATTAAGATTTTAAGTTATTAATGACCACAAAATATAATCAAATCAAATAACAGGATGTTTAAAATAATATTTTTTAAATAAAAAACTCTAGTTTCAAACAGAATATTAAAGTTATAAATCATTTTCTTTTATATATGCAGCCACCAGGAGTAAATGCTAGTCAAGGGAAGTTAGGCGTCTTCTATAAATGATGTCACTAAAGAGGGGAGGGATGGTTGGAGGCAGCATTATATTGTGTTATATAGGAGGATATTAGTTTAGTAATATTGATATATATTTTTTGTTTTTCAACGTTTGCTAAATTCATTCATTTTTTGTCTTATACTAAACAATTAAAATATTAACAAATTAAGGCCACGCCAACTGTTTTTAACTAGTCAAAAACAGTTCTGCAATGTGTTTAATATACATTCTAGGAGAATGTTATGCAAGAATGGACACAAAATCTATTTACTACTAAATGGAACTAAAAGCTTACTCTTTTTGCGATCTGACAGCCGTGGTGCTGGTGAAGGATCTCCAATGGGAATACCCAACACATCAGGTGGTTGCATTGGATTTCTTAGATACAACGGGTCAATAGCACTAGGACTGCCCCACGATTCACCATATGGTGAGCCATGCCCTGAACATATTTAACATATATGCAATTTAAAAAGTCAAGTGTATATTGCAGCAAAGATATTTGTACCCTACAATTGTGGCATGGCAGCTGAACCACAATATTTTCTGTAACTGTTACCTACTTGCTAGAACATGGTGGCCACTCATTTCCTGGAACAAATTTCTGACTTTTCTCGGTATTCCAGTGCATTTTTATTTTATTTTATTTTTTTTTTTGGATAAGATTTGCAATTTCAAACTACATAAAGAAAATATTAAAGCCCCAAATACTAAATGATCAGCTATCTGATTTTACTCTTACAAAGAAGAAATTAAAACTTTCTCACCAAATAAAAATTGAGTAAACAATAACAATGTACTAATGTTTTTTAAGGAGTAACATATAATTTTATAAGCCTCATAAAATTTTCCCTGACTTCTAACAATTCTTCAACAAATTCTCTGATTTTTCTAGAGCAATGAAATTCCTTGATTTTTCCCGGTTTCCAATGTTTTACAGACAGTGACCATGTCCAAAATGGCTAGAAATTTAAAAAATGTTAACTTTTTTGTTAAATGACTAAAAAATAAAATAAATCAAATAAAATGTCTACAAATAAAATTAAAAAAAGTATTGCAATAGTTAATTTTTGCTTATTAAACTACATTGTGAGTTGATCATTTCCACACAACTTAACTTTCAAGGCACAGCATCCATTTTTATATAACGAAATTTAAAGCTTCTACTAAGAAAATGCATGCAGAACAGTTAAACCCCTCAAGAGTGACTTTCACCCCCCACCGTCAGCTGTTACAGTATTACGTAAATTTGCCTAACTTAAATTTCAGTTTTCCTCTAGATTAAAGTTCTATATCTCCTAAACAATCTAGAGGGAAACATGTTCTTTTATTTACATTATTAAATATGAACACTAATATGCACATTAACCTAAAATATAAACAAACCATATCTTTTCAAGTGCCAAGAAGAAAGGTGGGTTTGCATGACAAATTTTGCAACGTGATGAACATTGGTACACAAGAAGCTAAGACACTACATTGCACTGCTAGCTAGCGATCACTTTGCGAAATATGTCAAGTAACCCTGGTGATGCATTTAAAAGCATGTATGGCATATGCCATTGTACATGCTACAGAATGACTCCGTTGAGGATGGACGATGGCATATGCCATCGTACACACCTGAGGGGTTAAGTGAAACATTTTAAAACAATACTTGCAAACAACTGTAGAGACAATTTCATTATTTTCTTCAGCAGGTAAGAAGGAATTCCTCAAAGTAAAATTTGGAATGCAGCAAAATATCATAACATTAAACAATAACAAATCATCCTACATTTACTGATTATAATTTCACAGTAACATTCAGGAAAATTTCATATAGCAACAGTGCATATCTTGTGGTTTAATGAATTTATGTCACTGATTGGATTAAACAATAAAGGCTACAATGGTTGTTTTATAACAAATGAATATTTTTTTATATCTTGAAATACGTAAAAGCAATGCTCACCTGTATGAACCCTTGAATAAGGTAAAGGATTACTAATATCCTGTGGCAACTTTCTCCGCATGGGATCAACTTTACATCTTGGAAACTGGGCTACTTCAAATGTTCGTTGATTTTGACCACGCCACCAATAAAGTTCGGCACGTCCCTCAATGACCACAATGGTGTCACCTTGCTCAATAGTCATTTTTCCTGGCTCTTGAAATTTCTCAAGAGCTTTCATAACAGGAGGAAAAGTGTCCTTAAGGAAATCTTTTAGGGCAGCAAAGGTGGGCCGGTCAGCAGGTACTTTAGCCCAACACTGAAATATTTCAGCAATGAATCGATAAGACATAGACCAATGATTTTTAAGAGATTAAATGAATAATAGTTCAATTAAAATAATTACCAAAATTACAATAAAAAATTGAACTGTGAAGCACAATAAATTTCTACAAAAAATTGTAAATATGCAATTATTTTAAGAACAGCATTAACTTTTGTAGTACACTTCAAGAATGTTTCAAAGTGGCTAATACATTAGTATATTCAAAATATTCTGGTGCATTTGCTTTTACCTGAAGCATTAATTGATACAAAGTAGGAGAGCAGGCATCAGGGCAATGTAAACGTTCTCCTTCTCTATCAATCTTGCGCAAAATTTGTGTACCATTTAGACCCAGCCATGGTTCTTCTCCAAATGTAAACATTTCCCATAAAGTTACACCAAACATCCAAGTATCTGTAAAATGTATACATGTTCACACACAATATTATGAATGAAAAAAAAGACGAGATATTTCAAAATATTTTTTCCCTATCTATACCATAACAGAGATAAAAATTGCCTGTACTGGGACTTGTGAGAACATTTGCTGTGCCATTGTCCATCCTCACCTCAATAGATGTCTTCCTCCCCCCTTCACATATGTAAACAAAGAAACAAACACACACACACATACATACCCACCAGCACTCACATGCGCACACACATACAAAACACTGAATTTTTGAATTGAATTGAATTGAATTTTGAAAAGCAAACTTTTCTGTACCCATAAGCTTAGGTGTTTCAAAATTGAAAAGTACACAACTGTTTGCATCAGTTGCACTGGAATAACTATAAGATGCTTAATCCTTTTTGTTGTTGATGTAATTAATATATTTATATTTATTTCTATACTTTCTTTACTTATATATGTTAAACATAAGGTAAATAAAACCCCTCTAACCAGGTAAGTGCAACTTGAATCTTCCTTCAATTACCCATTATTTTCATACAGCTATTCATCACAATCTTTCCCACTCAAAATTGAGAAAAAGCCTCTTCCTAGCCAACCACTGACCATACATACCAGAAGCATGACTAAACTGTCTACTTTTAAGGCTTTCTGGAGCACACCATGGAAAAGGCACTTTCTTGTGTTCAGTCATTACATAGCAGTCTTCTTGTTGGGGAAGGGCTCGCATGAGTCCAAAATCACCAATTTTCACCTACCAACAAAAGAATTTGAAAATGTATCAATTTTATTTTGCAAAAATCACTTCAACTATAAAGAGATAGAAATATGAAATATTAACGCACATCATTGGTATAAAAGTAAAACTCACAAAAGTACATTTTTGATGTTTTTGTGTTACTTTTAACCTAAGACAGATTATATAATATTATAAGCCAGATAATATTATTTTGATTAGAAAAGTCTCAGGTTTGGATGTACTCAATAATCAATGAAATCTTGCAACATTACAGAACAGAAGATATAACAGAACTCCATCCTTGGACCTGTTTTGTTCCTTAATATATAATAATACTAATATAATGTTTAATGAAAGTGTGTGTTAGAAAAATAAGTCAGGCTTCAACTCATATCTAGTAAAAGATAAAGAGGAATGAAACAGAATCATCAACCAGCTTCATGTTCAAACATGTTTCTGTTTTGCTTGTATACCAACTGTATTTTTCTGACCATCTGCACGGAAACATTTACACACAATAATTGAATAATAATAAAATCATTTCATCAAATACAGACATAAAACTGCTAACAAAATTACAAAGAATTTTTTCCCTTAGTCAAATTTCCATATACACCCTTAACCAGTGGCGGCTGGTGCCCCAACTAACCGTAGGTTGCAGCTCCATCGAATGATGGAAATGTAATTTCTAAAATTCAGAACACTAACATATAATGAAATTAAAGCAATTCATGTAAATTAATTCATAATATGTTTAGTAGAAGCCGAAAATGAAATATTATTTACATTATTTTATTGCATAGTATCAGTGTCAACTACATTCGCCTCAGGCACACGTGGTTCTGGCTTTGATTTCCAGCCAACACTAGAGATTTTTGTATTTGTTACACATCAAAACAATTGAAAGTAATATAATTCATAAAAAAAAAAAAAACAACTTGGTTTTGAAAATACAATGATCGCACTGCAGCACTTTACAACTAGCACTATTGTCTGAACTAGTTTTACAAAAATAAAATTATTTTGTTTCAAAAATTTCACCACCCTGGCATATATTGCAATAATGAAAGATCTTACACACGCACACACACACGACAACGTTCGCAGCAGCTTGGGGGCTGCTGGCAGACTGGTTGCCATGAGGCCAGGAAGATCAGGAGAAGATGCACACACACCATGAGTGACAGAAAGGGACTTTTTTCCAGAATGGCCAATTTTACACCAAGACTCATCAAATGTACATTTTGAATCAACAACCTTAACATGAAAATAAATACTTAAAACATAATAAATAATGCGTTGAATACCATCAATAATTGATTGAACTTGCATACTTTCAATAACTAATGAAATTCATAAAATTTAGTTGAGAGTGTCGTGGAAGAAGTGTCACAAGGAAGAAGACTGGTTGCTACACTGAAGGCCTTATGTTGAATCATAGGGCTAAAGAATAAATGCTTCTAGGCTGTCCGGGTGACGCCGCGTCGTTGGCAGATAGGCCGACGTTTCGCCTGTCATGTCGCAGGCTTCTTCAGGGTACTGAGGTCGTCAGTACCCTGAAGAAGCCTGCGACATGACAGGCGAAACGTCGGCCTATCTGCCAACGACGCGGCGTCACCCGGACAGCCTAGAAGTAATGGACTCGAGCCGCGGAAGCCTACGTGTACAAAGAATAAATGCAGCAGCCAAAGCGGAAATGCAGTAATAGAGCCAAAAGTAGGACATGGTGTCCTGGGAGAACACCAAACACCGATGAGGGTGCTCGTTCAGTGCTCTTTGATCTTAAAATAATTTCATATACTTCAATATTGCTGCAATATCTTGAAATTTGAATGTCATTAAAAGGATAATATATATTATACGATTTTTTCGATTATCTGGAGGTTTACAATCATGCAACCTAAGCAAGAGCCGCCACTGTTTTTAATGATCAATATACATATCAACATTCCCAGACAATCTTATGTGAAATTTGTTCCAACAAAACGAGTTTGGCTGCTTCTAAAGGGCTAGTCCAACCTTTGTAAAGTGTCCTAAACCCTACCCCTATCCTATTTCCTTCTCAATTCTGGCCGCTGGGTAGTGATGCAGGAATGTGTACGCGAAGATGGTACTTGGCGGTCTTCTTGACAACTGACTGCGACGAGACGTGACTAACACAGATAATGATAAGGATTACGCCAAGTGCAAAGTGCTCAACTCCTCGCAAGGGGTTTGGAGACACGTTGCATCTATCTAGGTGCAACTCAGGTTGCCCAACTATTATAAGAAAAAAACAAAACGGAAAATCGAATGTAAATAATATTAAACTGTACTCATTGCAAGGGTACATCACATTATATCAGTCAGCAAAACAGTGACAGTAAAACTTCACTTATACGTTTTTCAGGCGACTGAAGGGAAAAATTGTATAAGTGAGAAAAAGGCAGATATAAAATTGATTATGAGCAAAATAAAAATTAAATATTTTTACTTTTAATTTTAACTCATTCTCTCTGTTCTTTGGTAATACCTATCTTTTTATTGCCTTTCTCCCTAACAACTTTTAAAAGTTTTATTTTATTTGATATTGAAAGGGGTTGCCCTTCCTACCACTAGACACTATACTTCGATTTAAACACAGCCTCAAAGCCACAAATTACAACTCTGGTCAGCTTTGAAAAAATATCGTCGGCCGAAGGTCATCATCGAAGTCTCCCCTGAGGTGGAGGTAGCGGGCACGCAGTGGGGACCTTCTCGTCTTGGTTTGTGTTCAACACTCTGGGCCTGCTCGGCGCTCTTCCCAGTTTGGGTTCATGGCGCCCTAGCGTGGCGGAAATAGTGAGAAAAGGGGATGGAGGTGAGGAATCTCTTCACTACCCCCGTACTGACGTTGTTCGAAGAGGAAGCGGAAGGGAGGGAGAGGAGGAGGGGGAACACACCGATAAAAGAGAGTAGTGTGTATTAGGGGAATTTGGGCCCGGTTATTCGGGGTGGGTGGATTATATGTGCTAGAGCGGGGGGAGTTTGAGTATGTCAAGGTGAAGAATCTTGTTTGTGAGTGGTCTGAGAGACGTGTTTCAGGGATGGGTTTGAAAATGGGTGTATGGTTGCTTCGTGAGTTGCGTTAGTAACGTCTTCCACTGCTGTGTCAAAAAATTGTCTTTGTCTATTGGCTTAAGGTTTAGTTCTGTCAAGTCTGTTGTATTAGTAAGTGAGGGTTGAAATGACGGTCTAGGAATCTGTATTTCGTTTTTATCAGTTTGTTGTAGTTGGTCTTGGTTGTCGTTGCCCAGTCGCAATGTATGCAAGATGGCTTGATGTATGTCTTGTAAGATGTAGAGTTTGGTCTTGGTAGGGTGAGGGATGCGTCAGGACGGGGTGAGGGAGTTTAATCGTCTATTAGCTTTCTGCGCCGACTGGCCGTGTAATTACTCGATATGTCTATTCCAGGATAGTTTTTCTTCAAAAGGTGAGGCCTATTTATACTTCTTCATTAGTCCAGTGAATTTCAGTGTTGTCTATAGTGAGTGGGGGTGGAGTTGGGTGTGTCTTGCCGGGGTAACCTCTATTGAAAAATATTGCCAGCGCTTTTGTGGTTTAGTTTCAATTGTTGTCTTTTCCCAAGTCGTAATTGGTTGTCTAATCGTTTAAAATTTGGTCATTGGGGTATCCTACGTCTTGTCACTGCCAGAGCCCCGTCGTCGGCGTGATATCGTAGTCGTTAGTCGAGGTTGAGTCGCAAGCTCGTTCGTATAAAGCGAGAAGAGGCGATAAAAGAGGACGTCCTTGCGGACGCCGCGAGGATTGGTCTGAGGAGGAAGAGGAGTTGAATGGGTTTTACGTAGAAGGAGCGTCTGTCTGGTAATTGAGATGAGTGGAGAGAACGGGATATGTCGACTTTTTATAGTTAGTGTGTTATGATTAACGTTCGAAAGCAGTTGAAGTCCAGAAATATGCACGGTACCGGTTGTCCTTTTCCCTCCTGTTAGTCGCGTTCGGCAGATGTCGGAATGAGGCGTAAACGTTTGTAGTCCAGTCGATCTGTCTGCTCGAAAGCCGAATTGTGTCGGTCTGAGTCTTTCTTCCAGTATGGGGGATAGTTTTTTCAGGATAATACGTTCGAAGATTTTGCCTAAAATAGGGAGGAGGCTGATCGGTCTGTAGTTGTCGGGATTTAGAAGGGATTGCTGGGTTTGGGGATCATTCTAATTTTGGCGGTTTTCCAGGAATTCGGGAAGTAGGAAGTGTTGATGCAGGCGTTAAGTACTTTAGTAATGAAGTCAGTCGCGTTTTTTGTCAAGTTTTTAAGGGCGTTGGCTCTTACTCCGTCGGGACCGGTCGATTTTCCGCCGTCAAGGTTTTTCAGTTTGTCCGTTACGTCAGTGTTAGTTATGGTCCAGGGTGTTTGTTGATGTCGTGGGAGGTGAGGCGTTTTCATAAAATATAGGGTGGTGGATGAGGGGAACCTTACTGATGACCTTGTGCGACTGTTTCACTGCGGAAAAGGCCGTGGCCTGCGTGGGATACAACAGACGGCAGCGACCCGCGGCTAGTTGCTTCGGTTTCAAGCTTGATGTTACTTGAGATTCCCTGGGCCAAAGCACGGTGTTCTACGTGGGCGACAGGAAGCGCACAACAGCCATAGGCTGGCGACACCCGCTGCGCCGCGCGGAAAAGGGCCTTCGGAATGTGGGGCAATCAGAGCACAAACTTCACTTATTGGTCACATACGTCGTTATTCTCCTCAGGGGACTCCTTTGGGCTTCCCTCAGAGCTACCCGCAGCCTCCTGATATCTTCAAAACGCTCTCGTATGCACTCGACTGAAATTTTTTTGAAGTTCCACTGGCGGCGGAGGCCCGGGAGCCGAATTTGCGCTACCACTCCGCAGGCTCACCCAGTCTTGGTCCCTCAGTGAGGCCGAGTTGAGCTTCTATATTACAAGTTTCATTAGCGGGAAGTAGCCTCAGAGTCTGAGCGTATTGTCGCTCCTGGCTCTGGACCGTGTCCAGTTGAGTAACACACAAGTTTCGGGCTATCGGCACAGGTCGCCCCGCGCCTCACCGGGGTCATTTGAACGTTATACTAAAGGGACTTTTATTAACGTATAAGAGTGAAAAACGTATAAACTAAAATGTATAACTGAAATGGTTTAGCAAGGTAATTATAGGAATTTATCAGGGACCTACGAAAAAAACAACGTATAAACGTGACAAATGTATTTGAGAAACGTTTAAATAGAGTTCCACTATACAGAGTAACAGTATACTGCAATCTAAAATATTTAATTCAGAACATTGTTTTGTGAACGATAAATTTTATAAATATAGTGTCGAAATATCATTATTGAGTATTAAGTTTTTTGTGTATTAAGATTTTGTTTATATTTTTTTAAATATTGAATACATTTTCCCAGTTACCATACAGATATAAATACATATTGTCAATATGAAATAGTAAAGTATTCACAGATATTCTACTGAAGGAGTTGCCTGTGTGGAGACTTGACTACGCTAACTAGATTAAAATAATATATTTCTGGTGCACTAACACCTGTTTTTTCTCACATATCATTTCACAAATACTTGACGCAAGAATAGAAAATGAACTAGAAAAGAAACCTAAAATTTCAACAATCGGAAGTAAGAGTTAATTTCTTCTCTTGATAAAGCTATGAGATGTCTCCGCAATGACTTATCATTTTTTAGTTTTAAAATATCATTCAAATTGTTGAAGGCCTTTACACACACTATATGATGTATTAAGAATTAAGATTTATTAAGTATTAGGATTTTACATTAAGAATTGTGTAGTAAGTTTTTTTCATACGACAAATACGATTTGCAAATAAAAACAAAAGCAACTTTACTCAGAGGAGGAGAATCTTGCTCAACCAAATTTGATGTTTTCTTTTAAAGAATTTTTTCTTCGTGCCTTTAATTTGTTGACTTGTAGTTAATATTTTTAATGTAAACCATTGATATACTGAATGACTTCATTAGCATAGAAAATTGGTGAAACCTATATTTTTTAATACACATCACTAGCTAAGACCCATGAACTTCCCCTTTGTGTGCCTTTTGATCAACACTAAAGAGTACTTTGAATTATCAATTCCATTTATAATTAAAAATATTAAAAAACTAATTTTTTGTATTCCAACATTATAAATTAAATTTTATGTTGTAATAAACTGTTCATAAAATGATATCTTACGGCACAGATTAAGACATATCTGCCATTTCTGCTATATATATATATATATATATATATATATATATATATATATATAACACACACACACAATATGACAATGGACAATACTATAAAAAATACTGGTTGCAAGAGAACATTTGGTGATATCAGGTCTACATCATATCCACATCTAACTTCTTTAAATGACATACACTCACAGCATTTAGAAGAAAAAATATTCTTTGTTCCCTGTGTGAGACAGTCAGAATGACGTGAGGCATATGATTTGGGTGGCACCACACAATTCAGGGCCATTAAAAACATGATAGATTATTTGACATCAGACAAGATATTACATTATAGTTCTCCAGCAACTGGAGCCTAAAATTACAACATTCAATAAAACATTTAAGAGACGTTAAATAAAACTTACCTTATCAGCAGCAGCCAATAAAACATTTCTACATGCTAGATCTCTGTGAATGAAGCGTTTCGATTCCAGATATGCCATACCAGTAGCAACTTGTAAAGCATAATCCCACAATGCTGGGAAAGAAACAGACAAAAGTTTCACTTAAGATAAGTTTTACCCTTTGGCTATCAATTCATAATAAACAAACTAGTACTTTCATTTTTTTTTAAATTCAAGAATGAACACAAAATTGATAACACAAAATTACAGGAAAATATATAGATGAAACGTTCAAAATATTTGCATAATAAATTAAACACATCCTTACTTGTTACAGGAGTGTGCTGACACTGTTTTCTCAAGAAATCTAACAAAGAACCTAGAGGAGCTAGTTCTGTGATCATCATCATTGGTTGGGATAATACAACCCCATATAGTCTGGGAAAAAGAAAATCACTTACATCAGAACTTTAAAAGAGAAAGAGACTTTAATGCAAACACACAGAAACTACTATAAATAACTATAAACTAGCATAGGCTATAGCAGATAATAATGGTAATTTCTCTCAATAGGACATGTAAACGACAACCAGGAGAGCTTTAGAATTACATCTCCCTCACTCTATATTTTTAAAATGCAAATAGTTTTGGAAATTAAGCAACAAATTCTTCTTTCCTTAATCTTTATTAATTAGACTCAACTTATTTTTAAGGCTATGATTTTATAGTAATTTTATGAAAGATTACATACAACATAATAATAATAATAATAATAATAATAATAATAATAATAATAATAATAATCGCTCTCCAAAGCATAGCATAATTGAAATAAAACACCTCTGAGAAATGTCTTTAAGCACAGCAATACAACTATTTGAAGCCAAAGTTATCCCTGTAGCCACATACGGGATCACACTGATATGGCCATTCCTCACAAAAAAGGAAATGCACAACCTGGACTGGATAAAAGCTGCTTATCGAAAGAGAGCCTTTGGCATGCCATCAAGACTGACATATGTGCTAGCTAAGGAAACCTTTCTCCTAGAGGATCTGAGAGTGAAGTTTCTGCTGCTATTCTCTGCAGAGGCGAAAGCCATCCTTGAAGTAAGAAAACAGAAAAAAGACAGCACATGGGAGGACTTTTAAACCACGAATGCAATGACAGGACAAGATTGTACAAAATCTGGGTATGAACTATGATGATGATGATGATGACGATGATAAAAATATAAAAGAATACCTTATTAAATTTTGATGATCAAGAGCATGCATGGCTTGTACTTCTCGCACAAAATCTTCAAATATTCCAGGCTGAGTAATAGCATCCTGTTTTAGAACTTTCACCGCTACAAATTGGGTATGTCCAGATGGTGTGGTCCATTCTCCTTTCCTTACCACACCAAAGCTCCCATCTCCAAGTTTAATGGACAAACTGAAACTTACTTATATTAATCTCTAAGTTTTTTTTTTAACAATCTATCTAATACGTTAGATGCAGAACAACAATATTTCACATCTCTCTTTTAATACTTCTCTAATACAATGCAAAACCATAATAGCTACAATGCACACAAATAGCCCAACTGTTCACCCTGTACAAAAAGTAAATGCAAACCTAGAAAAACCATCTTGGTAAATCAATTATGTAAAAATGAAAACATTACTAAAAAAATTGAGTAAAAGGAAAATTCTACTCAATGAACTACAATAGTATCCTATTTACTAGATTTGCAATTAATATATGGAATGTTTGAACTCAAATTACTGAGACAGACTTGATACAGAAACCATTAAAACATATTAAAATGATTAGAGATGCTAATAAAACAATAATTTTCTTACCTAACATCTTTCTCGTGAATTAGACATGTGAGTGGAACGGCTGGTTCTGTACCTGGTGATCCAGGATTACTAGGTTTTTCACCTCGAGGGCGTATCTTATCAAATAATCCTTTCTTCCACTGAGCTGCTTTTCTTTTGCGGACTGCTTCCAGAAGACGGCGAGCACCAGGTTTACTCATCCCTACCTTCTCCAAGTCCTCCTCCCGAACATAGTCAAAATGTGCTAAGCGTGTGATCTACAGGCAAACAAATTACATGATTTAGATTTCTTTCTAATTGAATACAGAAAACAAAGAGTATAAAGAAATTATTTGAGAGTTCTCTTCATCACCATAAACTCCTTGGATACTAAATTATATAGACTGCTGTTGACCTCAACTTCGAGGACAATAGTTAAAGGCTGATGAATATTTGTAGGGTACCACATTCAAAAAATGAACACAACCGCATGAATGCTAAGCATTTTTTCAAAATGTTTACACCAATGTTAATTACGTGTTGAACAGCTGTAAAAAGCATTCTAGTGCATGTTTCTTCAGCACAAACGTAAGCAACAAATTCATACACTATAATCCAGCTAAAATAAAATTTATTAAAAACTTAGTTCCCATTTTGGCTAAAGAATATATACATAATTATTCATTTATACATATTCAAATATATGGAATTTGTTGGGTCAGATTGGTCAACAGACATATTAATACTTTTTAATTTCTCTTACTAATCTTGAAGGAAGGCTTTACTTCTACAAGTCTATTATACTACTAATTTCTGAGCAATTAATACATGATTCCAAAATTATGTCTAATAATAATAGAACTTTGCTATTGCAATCTTCTATGTATCAAAACACATGTCATACGCCACCATTTCAACAATTCATGTGAATTTGGAAATTTATAAATAAAATTAAGAATGAGTGCTCTAGTATATACTGCCTACATATTAATTAGAGTAAAAGGGGCGTAATTAAAGTGGAGCAAATCAGAGAAAAGAACATGGCATAGCACTTTATACTGGCTGCCTTTTTTTTTCTTAAAAGTATGTAACAGGAACAACAATTAACATACAACATGCATGAATTTCAAGAAAAGTAATTGAGAGACTATTACAATTTAGTAATATTTATTACCCTAAGTTGTTTATTTTACATAAAGAAAAAATTTCTACAAAACAATTTTCAAAAATTATTGCTACATTCAGCATGCTAAAACAATAATTTTTGTTTGAGGAAAATATATAAAACATACTTATGAAAGAGTGAATTATCTTTTTAAAAATTACATTTACATTAACATCTAGGTCATTATCAACCACTATTGCACTTAACGGAATATGGTATTCATGAAGACAGCTTGATATGGTGATGATATGGGGTGAAAGGATGAACACAAATACAACCATGCCCGAGGTGGGACTTGAACCGGCAATCCTTCAATCCAAGATTGCAATGGCACTACTGATTTAACGATCTAGCCATCCGGAGCAAGTGAATGCTATTGTGACAAATGAATCGATCAAATTTATTCAATCACATTTACACTCAAAGAGTAACAAAATATTAGGGAAAGAGAAAAAATATCAGCACCAATACATATACATTTTGAATTTTATTACACTCTCTATTGGTTATTAACCATCAAAAAAGTATTCAGGCCCAGATAGGAAACCAAACTTCACTTTAAAAAAGATTTTATAACATTAGTTCAATTCTGAAGGCCTTCAAATATGTCTGTTTAAATCAATTTAGTACGAGATAATTACTTGAGCTACATCATTAGAATAAATAATAAAATCAACCTAACAACCATAATTCACAGCAAACAATTACACTTTTAAAAATATATCTCATTAGTGCACTAAATAAAGATACTTCACATTAAATGAATCAAAACACATATTTATATTCTGATGCTGTACTAAACCATATATTTGAAAATGAGAAAAAGTGACATAATTTTGAATTTACCTGAAGTTCATCTCGAATACGAGTTAGAAATTGCTCCAGCTGCACATCACGCAGTAACTTCTGCAACCATTCCAGACCAGCTTCTTCTTCTGCCATTTTGGGTCTTTCTATAAACCTGCAAGGAACATAAGCCTTTAAACAAGACTCCAACAGATTTGAGACTAATTTGATACACTTTTTTCACCTTTCATGTTAGAAACTCTTACATTTTACATTATCAGTGCAAATTTCTGAGGACTCTATAATGACTGTACTGGACATGAGCTTAAACTAAGCCTTGAAACACTTCACATTCACTAGTCATCCAATAAAGAACAGTATAACGTGTTCACAATATTAATCTCACTGCAATTTGTCCACCAGTCAAATGGCCTCTCAAATACAATTGAGCATCTTTGTGTGTGTCAATGGACCTAGCAATACTGAACCAAGGACATAACTTTTTACAATCAGCTCCTAGTATTGCAACCAAATGAAATGTCTTTTTTCACAACTACATTCTAAGTCATATGTAAAAAAAAATGTCACAAGTCCATTCACAGTTCATGACCTCTTATGATACAGTAATAACAGCATTTGATAACACTAGTCACTTGTCCAACACATAAATTGATCAGCTTTCAATACGTTATTAGTTTTTCATATCATTCAGTCAGAACTGAAAACAAATGGATGAAACATTCACGTCACATAGAACATCAACTATTTTTGACATTGCATTTTGTATACAGCAGGTGACCAGAGAATACTTTCACTTACATGACAAAGGTAATTACTGAATGCTAGCCTGTAAAAGTGATAGAAACGTTTCCAAATATGAAAATAACTATTCTCACACACTTACAATTCACAGTTTAACACAACGTGCGTGACACACTCGTTTAATAACTTAATACATCTTCCAGAGACGAAATCCCACGGTCACGTATCTTCCTCCATCCCCACCTCCTCACCACAACACACAGGGTTGCCAACATCAACAGGGCTGTCAATTGTGGAAAATCTTAAATATTTTACAGGATTCCCAGTGACCTAGAAAAGGAGGAAAGAGTAATACAAAACGGAAAATGTTTGGTTGTTAAATCATTTTTACGCTTCTCCCCAAATAGAAACTGGCTAGTAAATATTATTTGAGTGTATTGATTAGACAAGGAAAGACATTGCCAACGTACTTTCCTAGAAAATGTATCATGCAATCTTTGTAAGACAGCACGAAGGTCTTAAGGAAATCCCTTCCCTTTCCATGCGTCACGAAAATCGGAACATCCTGCGTGTGTCCGGTTTTTAAGCTACATTATGCTTTACTCAATATTTGGAATATTTTTAATTCGGAGAGCAGAAGAGTAACATTAATACTGAACAGTCCGCATAGAGCATTGAAAATAAGTCATTAGTAATAAGAGTATATCATACAGTAACATAACAGTTCTTTAGGCCATTCTACTTTCATCGAATAAAAATATAATTTCATTATATCTGAGTGCTATTCGACTTGTGAATATAGGATCATGGACAAACACAAACTCAAATACGCAAATTACTAATCAGGTTGATAAGCTATTCTCATTTCTCAATGTGATTACGCCCAAAATTCTAAATTGTAATTCTGAACAAAAGACTACTGTCGAGGAGGAAATGGAGGTAGAAATATTCCAATTTAATACTCAACATTTCCTTCACAGATATACTGTCCAGAAACGTACCTAATAACACTTTCAAATCACGTTTTACCTGGGATCCGCATTTTTACTCAGGTTCCGCATTTTTAAATCTGGGACTCGACGTCCATAGAACTTCGGACATCACACACGCTATAATGGGAACTGAGTCCTGTGCGATGGAAAAGGCGTGCCAAGTGTGTCAGGTAATGGAATTCGTATTGTGTTTGAATTTGGCAAGTGTCCACTTGACGAATCACATATTATGACAATATAATTGTCATCTTTCCATTCCCCATTGCAATCAGGATTACATTGTCATTCTTTCGATATAAAAAGGATTAGATCTCGTTTAAGAGCCGGTGTGTGGAATATACTGGCGAATCCCTGTGCAGTCATTAGTAGCAGTAATTGGGTTGTTATTAAACTTTTCATTATTATAAAAGAGATCGTAACCGTTAACTAAAACATTATCGTAAAACAGTGGCATAACGTCCAGGCCCAGGTTAAGGAGGGAATCTTTTTAAAATTTAAGGTAGTAACACTACTTATGTAATTTTATAAAGGGGCCCGGATAAAAAAAAATTGCGGACGGGCTCGCATTGATTTCGTTATGCTTGTCGTAAAACATATAAAAACATAACAATGAACGTACGTAGTTACATTGGATCACTGTAATTGTTTTGAACAATAAGCACACGAAGTTTCAGATACGGCGATGTTTAAAAACTCTCGTATTTTGATTGGCCTGAAGCGTCTAGCTCCGAAATGTGTCACTATCAAACCGGCAGACCACTGGCATTCTTTCTACTTAGTCTACAGTGTATAAATTATGAAACGTGACGGTATAGCAGCTAATTTTGAGAAGCTCTTTCGGACTTCTAGATCAGGTTCCGCATTAAAATAGGTTTCTGACTGTTTAATTGTTTCCGGATATGTCAACCGCTATTCCGCTATGGTCAGTAGTTCTATAAGGGTAGTGAACGATTTATTACGAGAGATGGCGATGCTTCCACAGCTGGACGGTAAGATCCAGGGTCGACTTACACGTTTGTCTGCGTGGATTGTATATTCTTCTCCAAGTATCTCCCCAGCGGCGCACAGCTCCAGCTGGGACTACCGACTGGTCTTCCCACGTGTATATAATGCGTGTAAGTATAGGTAAGCAGGGAAAAGATAGGATAAGAAAGAAAGGAAGATCGGAAGGAAGGAAAGATCGCGCGTGGTCCATGGCCTGTTTGTTTAGATACTGCTCCGGCATTCGCCTAGTACTGAATGAAGAAGCCACCAAAAACCATCAATCAGAGCAGCTGGAAACCTGAATTCTACACACAGCGGCAAAATTCGGTCCAACCACACAGGTACAACTAGCGTCGAAAATCCATCCCCGTAGGCACCCGATCCCTGAGAACTCCCGGTCCAAGTCGCTGCCGAGACAGCGGTAATACCATCTCTTGGAAATCTGGTTCTGTATTTATAATTCACTTGAGTGTGCTTACGTTGCTTTTAGGATTTAAACTACTCGTATCGCCTTCACAAAATTGGTTGGTTGGTTGTTGGTGATTCCGGACGCGTCAACTACAGAGGTCATTAGTTCCGCAAGTGTAGTATATGTTTTTTCCTCGGAAGGTCTTCCTCAGCTGGAAAGCGAGATCGGGCGCCGACCGTCGGCTAGCGGGGTTACCTCCAACCAGGCATCTCCCACCAGCGGGGCACCGCTCCAGCCGGGACAAGGTCTAACATCCCAACCCGACATGTGTGGTTGTGTAGTCCATGTAAGTGCACGTGTGTGTATGTGAGGATAGGACCGATAGGTGTGTAAGGGTGAGGATAGGACAAGGAAGAGGAAGAAAAAATCGCGCGCCGTCCGTGGTCCGTTGTTAGGGTACTGCTTCGGCATTCACCTAGTGTTGACCGGAGAAACCACGGAAAACTACTGATCAGAGCAGCTGGCAGCTAGAATTCTCCCCCAGGCAGCGACTGAATTCGACCTAGCTGACAAGCTTGTGTCGAAAACCTTGCCAACTTTGGGACTCGAACCTAGAACCTCCCGGTCAGAGGCACAACAGTGACATCAGTTGATGCAGTGTTGCCACCTCTCCCGGTCTATTACAATGTAATTTCGCGCGACCCCGCTCCCAGTTCCCGTTTCTGTAAAAAAGAAAAAAGAACAGCCAATTGAATGTCAAATGAAGGTAAAAATATGCATTCCGTTATCTGCAATCTTTACTCGCTCAGTAACGTGCCTCCTGTAGTTTTTTAAAGAAGACCCGTAACTTTACAGAATGAAAAGTTTTATTTTCTTAAATATATTCAATCTCTGATTTTCCTCTTTTTTAACCTGGTAATATTGTAAATTATTTAACGACATTTGGGGAGGGGATTTTCCAAGACGTCTGGAAACTGTGCAATGGTTTAACATAAAATTAATTGTATTTATTAATTGAATTATTGAATTTGTAATTCCACTCTCCTTGTAGTTTGTTTTATTCAGGGTTGGATTTTCTGTGAATGAAAATATATTGACTGGGCGATTTTTCATAGTCACATGAATTTAGTTAATATTTACTCAAGTATTATATTTTATATCATACCAGGTTTTTTTCTACAGATTTATTCTCTCTCCCTCACCATTTATTTCACAAGCTGGTAGGTTCTTGTGCATCTTCTTTTGAAGCCATTGTTTTGGCACAGTACCAATGAGTTCAGAATCAGGAATTCTTGGAAATGAGAATACAAATGTAACTCATGAGGTACGAACTAAAACCCCTTTTTCAGAAGCAGCGGTGAGTCCTTCTGTGGGACCGTTTAACAATGACGAACACAAACCGGGACTGCCCATAACATACAACATACTAGAAACATGACCAGCACACAGGTGTGTTTACGTCGTTTGTAGGTTACCGAATGGAGAACAAAACCTCCTCTGTAGTTGTCATTTGCATCATTAACACGGTCAAGTAATTTCGTGACCGGTATCTCCTCGTCTGTGCCAGAGCTGTTTTCTCGCAGCATAATGTTCAAGCGAAGGCGCGGAACTGAACACTGAAAAGATGCTCCAGAAAGAAGGCACAATGTAGAACACGATAATGAGTATAATTTTCATAAGAAGCTTCTGCTCACTTCGAGCTTTGACCTGTCATCTGTATACTCACAATTTTTCTGGTCCTTCTACATATTGGGAGACGGACACATATGAGGGTGATCACTCCTTCAACCCGCCTTATAAATGGGGATGACAAGCGGCATGAACTTTTTGTTTGAACGATAAACGCGAAGAAACTAAATTAAAGTGACTTCGAGTTGTTTTTTGTTGCCGAATTGAGTTGTTAGTACTCAGAATTCACTCTATTTTTTCCCCGCGAATTTTTACGATAAAGTGCTAGTAAAAGGAAATTGGTGTATTTTCACGATAAATGCGAAATTCTCTCGAAACTGCCATGGCCAATTGTTCTGCCAGACCTGTCGTCTCCTATATTATTTCAATAGTATACATAACTTTTGCGGATATTACATGCAACCAATCTTTATAAATGAAATTTTTAAAGAAAGAGAATTTGATGGAGACGTAACAAATTGTACTGTGGCTTTAAAAATATGAAAGATGTGTTTAAAAACAAAAACAAAAAGAATTTAAATATTCACGTCAAATGCAACCCGCAGCACTTGACCCCGTTGTCAAAGTCTAAATAGTTAAATAACTCCAAAACCAAGCTTTCTAGGTCTTTAAACCGTGGAATATTGAGGGTAAATACTTCAAAGAAACGTTTCCCATTCCATAATCTACAGATTGAGATGTTATTAGACATTCTATTGTATTACATTTTTCCTCAACCGGCGCTTATCGATATTATACCCCCACGTTTTCTTGAGCCCTGGAATACACACCCCACTCCTTCACTAATCTTAGTTGAATAAGAATAAAATATTAGCTACGAACGTTGTTCACAAATCTCATTATTAGAAATCTTCGGTCTCATATAATAGACATTATTTTACATCGCAAAAAGAGCTACAGATTTGATATAATAGTCTTGTCGTCGAAATAACCAAACCTCTACTCCTCTTGCAACTAGCGAAACCAGAGCTCAAGAAAACGTGCACGGATAATACTGTCCAATACACGGAAACCGTCTTTGTTTGTGACATCACGCTTAGATTCCTACATCTTATGTTTATTCTTTTTGTGCTCACCGAGGAGTTTGCCGTCTGGCGAGGTTTACTTGCATAATCATTAATTCAAGATTCGCTCTCGCAGCCAAGCTATAAGTACTATTACGAATAATAATATATATTGCCGGGTCTACAAATGCTTTGTGGAGGAAACTATGATGAAAACGGACCTTATGTTATCAATTTTCAGTTTCCCGATACCCTTAGAAAAAATAGTATCTCTGTCTTCATCGGGAGAATTTCCACGCAACAAACGAATGTAAGTATTGACATTCTTGTTTCAGTGACAAGTTTAACCTATAATAATATTAAATTAATAAAATTAATGAAATTGTGTTTGTGAAGCGTATTTACTAATGCGCAAAGAAATGTCAAATTTTAATACATGAATCAGTGTTTTTCTTGTTAAAAATGACTTACTTAAGGGCGGGAATATATTTTCAGCAGCAGTTTATATATATAAACTACAACACTCGATGTAGTAATCATATTCATCAGGTGACAGTATCAACAGCTCAATACAAAAAATTCACACACGATACATGTACATTGTTTTACAATACCTTGCCAGATGACATCAAACTATTAAATTGATACAAAAGTACCAAGTAAATTCTTTTCTGCTGCTCAACTGTGCCTATACAGTTAAATATTATACCGAGCATCCAAAAGGAAAGTAATATTAAGTTTAGCAACGACATTTAGCGTATTATTTAACATTTTGATTGTGTAACTCTAAAGAACAAGCGTTGTACTTCAGCTTCTGGGTCACTGACCCCCCTCTCGATCAGGTTTGCGTCCACTTTCCCTGATCCTTGAGCAAATGCTGAGATGGCTCCTTGTTTTGCTTTTGGACATAATTGTAACTTCAGTTTAACTTCTCCCCATAGCACGTCACACACAGTTTTGACGTAAATAAATAAATAATAAATTATTGTTTTCTATTTTTTCTTTTTAGTCTATCATCATTATAAGTGCAACTTTTATTTTGGAGAGGGCTTGAATTTATGTTTTAAATACTGAGCAAATAAAATGTAAGATAATATTTTTTCAATGACCTATGGAGGTTATAATTTTGCAATAAATTTTTTTATTGAACATTTAATTTACCTACTTGCGAAAAACTAATAGAAATTTTATATCCTCTTGTTTACAGAAAACGCTAGTTCTAATAAGGCAGCCATGTAGGCAGCAAATTTTACACTTTTCTAGCTTCTTAATGGGACTTCTTCTTAATCAGTTGTGTTATAAAATATTTACTTCATTGGCCAGAAACCCATTAAATCAATGAACTGGGTGTATGAAAAACAAAGTTATGGCAGTTTTTAAGAAGCTAATAAATTTACATGACGTACTTCGTTATTTTATCACTTGCTCTAATTCCATCTCACTACAATTGCGGTCTGAGAGAGATTAGATAATGAGTCATCAGACATTACGTATTAAAGTCGAGTAGAAATCAACTGCAGGTGATTATTTTAAAAACAAAGAAATTATAAGTCCATGAATCAGTGTGTGTTCAATTTTGTTACAAAGAAATAAATGAGTAATCGAACATGTCCAAACAATGAATATTAGAATGAAGTTAGAATCTGAATTGTCGACACCAAGCAGTTAGTTCAGACATTTTTTAAATATCTAGAATACACTGTATTTTATTTACATTGGCGTCAGTTATAACACGCGACCGCTATTACGACAAAAGTAAATGGCATCTCCAGATGTTGTTATCGGGAATACCGTATAGTATTATTGAATTCAACGACATCGACAATGACTTTGACATAACGCCGAATCCAACATTTTGACGTGACTTTTGATTCCCTTCGATTAGAGTAAAGAGCTAGCAGAACTAGCAGAAGAGTTCAAGATGATTTCATTCCACAATATTCTTAATCACGATTGCGTATAATTACCATTCGAAATGTCATTGTAAGCAAGAATCAATGTGTAAGGTGTTACTTGATGGCGAAACGAAAATTATCAGAGATTTGTTTTCAAGATTTTATAACTAGCCTTATCTATAGCTATCTATCTTATCTAGCCTCTATACTTACAGTCAATGCCAATACCACTGGAAGCATTGTTTTTCATGTAAAATAGACTTAGTGAGATTATTTAATTAATTATTGGTTACATTCAAATGAATAGAAGGCAAAGGGAAGATATACTAAATTCTTTTATTCCATAGGAATTTTATTACAGATATAGATATTAAATTATTTGAAGATGGTACTTAATATGAATGCAATACTCAGGCAGTATTTTATTTGCGCAAACATTCATTAATTTGAAATTCAGTATTCATTTTCCCTGGTGGTAAGGTACTAACAAAATTACATCTTGGTCTTTATTTTGACTGATGCGACGTTCGATTGGTCGACTGCCATTCGATGTTTACCCTTACGCAATCAGAGCGCTTGTTTGATGAATGTTGATGTTTTGAGATTAATGTAAACTGATAATGAAAGCTTGGAAAGACATCTTTCAGACACTCGCACTCAGCCTTATGCATAAGAATGTAACACAGCCCATGTTCGTAGTATGAGCATGCCCATGACATCAGAATTATTTATTACGGTGAAATATCGTATAGAAATTAAATATTACTTCGCCAAATTTTAGTGATGTATTTCATTCCAACTGACCAGCATAACCAGCCACCATTTTATAATTTGATGAAGAATGAAAGACTTCACTAAGAGATTGCCGACATATTTTATTCTCTTTACGACATACAATAATTGTCAAGTGGTCAAGAAAAATACTGAAATATGTTCTTTCATTCATCCACATTTGCATACATAATATTTACAAATTTATGAATGACTATTATTTACATACCAACGTGAAGAAAAAATCTCCTTTTGGGTTTAAAATCTTGTGGATGAAGGAATGTTCTTATATTTGCATTCTAAAATTCTCAATCATTCAGACTACAGTACAAAACGTTACGCACTTTGTTCTAACTGTATGAAAAAACTCAAAGGAAGACTTGTTTAATGTAATAAAATATGTGATCAAAGTAAACAATATGTATTTACATGACATGATGAACATTAGGAGGTAAACTAAGCCATTTTTTCTGAAAGTACAAAACCTATTATTACAGAACACAAAATTTAACTTGCAAACAAAGGTGCTGTGGGTATTTTTTATTACAGAGTTTTACGAAAATTATTTTGTATTGTTATAATATTTTCCACAATTTATCACATAATAAATCAAAAATCCTTTGGTAGGTCCTTCAGAAACATGTGATACTGATTCGCCCAAGTTCAAGAATAAAATGCACTGACAAATATTATGATTGTGTTTAATGGCCATCAAAATTTCATTTGTCTCTCAAAAAGTCAAGAATTTGAATTTTGATCATGTACATTAAATGTAGCATATTATGGCAGACCAGTGACGGAAAAGCACAGAATGTCTCAGATACTCCACTTATCCGTAATTTATCGACGAGTCTTAAGATAATCATCTATAAATCAGAACAGGGGCATCTGAAAATCCACTCTTAATACTTTTTTGGGGTTGTTTATGGAGCACTAGTAGTGGCTCTATGAGCTAATGTCCTATGCTGATTGGCTTGAACAGGTGACGTGGGGAATGGATATTTCAAGCTTTTGATAATAGTATATGTATCATTCCTAAAGGAATTATTGGTTGTTCTACAAAAATACATAGTTTAGAGAATATGTGTTCTGAATTATAAAGTTTGGCCTCCACTTTCAAAAAATTAGGAGGATAACTTTATTAGGATATGTTCTAAATATCCCTTTACCAAATAATTATAAAAAGCTCTTGAGATATTTTCTTGTTCTCTTTGTACATGTCCATTCACTGAACAACACTGAACCCTATTTATTGATTGACAATTTAGCACTTTCAATCTTTTTTTAGATATAAGCAACTAATATTACATAAAATGATATAAATTGAAATTATTCCTCACATAAGCCTGGGGGAAAACACACAATTTAAATTTGAGAGTCTATTAACATTTTACATTGGCTTACAAGTACACAAACAACAGGTATATAAATTGTCGACTCTTTACCAATAAAACACATGTCATAATGTTGGCAAAATTATCATCCAGAATAATGAAAAGTCGTGAGTTCTAAAATTTTGGAGGCTTTGATGCGTTGTGCTTTTCATTTTGGTTTATGTGTGAATTTATTATTTCATCTTGAAATTTAAACAGTAATATATTTCTTTCGCATATGTCGGAGATCTTGTGTGATTAAGAATGACAAATTGTTTCTCACCTCAAGGTTATTATACTCGAAAGTCGTAGCAAATTCAAGTACTTACTCGCACTTTCTTGAAGACTTGATTTGAGTATATGAAATTATGGTATTACCAAAATATGCAGCCAGCAATTGTGCTCCTTTGTGTAACAATTTTTTAACTTTGGATTTAACATCATAGTAACAATTAATATCAATGCATACACACTCACACTCACATATATGTATATATAAATAACACTTGTAAAATATAATAAACCAAAACATTTGCATAAAATTTTAAACACATAGGAAGGATATTCAATATTCCTTCCTCAGGATAAAGGCTATCACTCCGATTCTCCCTGACTGGTAAACAGGCACATCAACATGGAAATCTACGTGTTCCACAGTGACTTTCCTCCTACACACAACGCACACCATAGTAACACCAACTGTGAAGAACTCAACAGTTCAAGTGGTTCCAGTCACAAGTACTTATGTTCCGTACTCTGCTAGTGCTGCCCACTATTGCTTGAAAGTGAAGAAGCTCGTGCCAACCTCCCACTCGGCAAAGTCGAGAGGTCCGAAGCAATCGTCAAAGAAGCCTTCTAGCACCTTGTAGAGATGACTCTTGACGCCGTCGAAGCTGTTTCCTTCGTCTGGATACGTCTGCAGAGAGGTACAAACACGGGAATCACTTTACCAGCTCGAACGAAAGCCTAGTTGTCCTTAGACGGGGACTTGGGGGTTATTGGACAGAACTGTCGTGTCCAGGAACGCAGAAGAGGAGGATGATTGTCGCAAAAGGTAAGTTATTGGGAATATGTACAAAATTATGTTAAGGACACACATAATATAGAAGTAACTGTATTTCTCTCGTTTGTGTGGGCTTCGGTATTGCGCACAAGTTGCTGCAGCGCACTGGGCAGTGAAATAATGTAAGTTATGTGTGTTAAGATTGTTTATTTGACAGCAAATCTCCCAAATGCTGCACCTGTAAAACTCTAAAATATGTCAGTATTTTAGCAGGGTGCAGCTGGATATTTATTTCTTGTATATTTGTAGTCAGTCTCTTGAGAATACTTTTGAATTACAGGAGCTCTCGCCATTTCCGCTACAAGTACAAGAAACTGGTAGCCTTACTTTTTGTGGACAGGCGGAAGAGCAAATTCGTTGTCTCGCCCTAAAAAATACATTAATTTATTTGTTTACTAACAATTTTTATTCTCTCGCTACTGGTTAAGCAGGAGAGAGATAGAGAGAGAGGAGGAAAGAGAGAGAGTTTTATGTAATGCTGCGCGAAAAAAAAGGCGAATTTTTAGCAGAAAAACCTTATTGCCGGGACCTGATAACAAAAAAGGGGATAAATCAAATTACTAAATTTAGAAAAAAACTCCAACACGTGGTGTAGACAGAACCCATGTTTTGTGGGTTCTTGATACCGATAATCGAGTGACGGCAAAACGTCTGTCCATCCGTCCGTCTGGTCTAAGTGAACAACACTAGCACCTAAACTATCCGTATGGTTTTTTCCAAACTGAATAAACCCCTGTCGATCTTGCCTCAGCCGAACCTCTACGATTTTGAGAAACATTAATTCATTTGAGGGTATTTTAACTGAAGTCCTTGCAACATTTTCAAAATTTTCACAAAAATGGCTCTTTTTTTAAAATTTCTTGTAAGAATAGAGTAACATGTATCGGTATAGATTCGATTATTATGAATAACTCTTAATTTTCGAAAATTTCAAAAGTATGACTTTTTTCGTCGTCTTTCAACTACTACAAAATTGAAGATACGGAGTTTTCCTTGGAATGAAATTCTTTGCGTAATTAGTTTGTTTATGAAGGTCACGTACATCGTTTTGAAAATTACGAGTATAGTAGTTTTCGCGGAATATTGCATTCAATATGTGCAATTTAAAAAAATTACGAAAACAAAATTTTCTCAAAAATGGATACTTTTTATCTTTCAACTTTTGGTAGGGAATGTGATAAATGCACTCTATAAGACGACATAAATGCCACTCTATTCTTATATTTGTTCAAAAATTACAAATATTTAATTTATTTGATTTGACTTTCACGTAGTTAATATTTACATTAGCGTCAATTTGTTCACATTAGTAAATGGATGAGTATATGCGCTTTAAATAATGTTTAAGTTTCTCGAAAACTCAACCGTTTTCTGTGAAAAGTAGCTCAAAATTCCGCATTTTCAGAAACGCCCAAACGTGGAAGTTAATCTGCTTCAAATGATGTTTTTCGCAAACTCGAAAATTTTCTATGAAAAAGAGTTTCAAATTTCGAATTTACAGCAGGGCTTAAGTGCCATTTTCATAAAAACGATTTTTTTCAAGAAAATTTCATCAGAAAAAAATTATTCAGAAAGATTCACATTTTTTCCAAGAAAATTGCCATTTAGGACGAGGTCTTATAGTTCTTTAATATTCTTAAAATAATATTTCCGTTCTACTAACAGGAAACCAAAAAAATAAGAAATGTTTTAAAAAAATGTACTTTGAGCGGCGATAGATGGCAGCTGGCAAGAGTAGTATGTGGCAAACTCATATAGCTAGCCGACTCTAAATAAAATAGAAAACTAATAAGGGGAAGTATGTGCCATTCTGTAGCACAACTAGTTACTTTTCGAATACTATTATTCTCGATAGAAAAATAGTTTTGAGAATCCCTGATATAGAACTAGTGATGTTAGGAATTCTAAATGCTCTACGGATAAGTCGAAAATGTTGAAAATATTAAGAAACTTAGTTTTTTCTTTTCGTCAGAAACATTTAAATTATTCTAATGATTTCGTTTTCCCACATATCTAGCGACAGAAATTACCCCACAATTGTACACATCTTGAGATGAGTTTTAAACACTCTCTTTTTGTCTCGGACAAGCAGACATTAGCTAAAGCGAAATCATGCTAGTGAGAAACGCTGAGCGTATATAAGAAACATTGTCATTGACAGGAACCTAGCGTTTTAAAGCTGGTTGATCCTCATACTTGTAAAAAGTGGAGGGTTTTATTTTATAATGTGCACAGAATAAGGTACACACACAAAAACTATAGTATCTCTTATGTGCAAGTTTTTATAAGAAACTAACTGTGAAATTCAACATGTGACTCATCAAAATAAATTAACAGTTTTATCAGGAGAAAGTATCTCGTTTATAATTTACTGTAAATTCAAGGATTGGTAATATTTATTAAGATATTCTGTTGTAATATTGAATATTAAATCTTACTGAACACGCCCTTTCTATGAATTATTTTAAAGATTGATAATTGAATTTTATTTTCACACGTATATAAGATTAAGGATAAGGTTAATTTTGGCGATGTTATACATACAGGAATATTTGGGAACATATTCACAGATCTAATACGCTGAGCCGAATACATACTATGTTTCTTTCGTTTCATGTGATTACTCTTATTTTTCTATCATATATCCGGCGAGTTATCGGAGGAAGTCGATAACTCTGAGTTACGATCAGCAAACCGTAACGCAGGGAATAATCACCTCAAGGACCACGCAATTCGTGACCTATCGGTCTGCTGCTACCGATGATCGCCACACTCGCTCCCTGACTAGGTTAGGGGTAAAACTTAAAGTAGTCGAGTAGAATTTGCAAGTCTGGCTTGTACCGGTTGCAAATCTGTCGCTGCCGCTTTATTCCTACCTTTGCGAGAATAAAGCGGCAAGATTTGTAGCCGGCGCAAAAATACTCAAATACGGTGCGTAAGGATGTACGTGCCACTTAATGCATTTATGTTCTCTTTCTTTGGGAGGTGTTTCCAGCAGATATTTGCCAATACCTTCCACTTGATGAGTGATGGCAGGAGGATGTGGAGTGAATGATGATTAGGTGAATAATGGAAAACAATCTTAAAGGTGCATAGAACTAAATGTGCTCAATATTGTTTTGTGCCAGCATAACACTGGAAAGTGCGAAGAAATTTCGAGCAAACTTTAAAATTATACAATTTTAGGAAAGATACAAAAACATGAGGGTGGGTCACGATTCAAAAAAATTTTAATTCTTTTAAATGCGACCCGCAATGTGGGTATGTAGGAGCTGTGGAGCCACGGGTCGCACAGGAGCAGGATCGGGATGGGGCCAGACAGCAATGAAAAGAAATGGAGATAAGAGCGTAGAGAGATTTGGTGAGATCGAGTGGAACCGCGCGGACAGGAAAGAACGAGGGTGGTCGAGAGAGGAGGACGGAAGGTCGGGGAAGTAGAAAAAGCGGGAAGGAGCGAGGTGAAGCGAGGTGGAGCGAGATAGAAAGAAATGACGTGGAGAGGAGTGTAGCGGGATGTAAAAAAACTTATTTCCATTTAACACATATATAATTAGTTTCTTTTATATCTTCAAGATGACTGTAATTCCAGTAATTCGAGTAAGTAAATAACCAAACAACGCCATGGTTCTCATTAAAACTGTGAGATAAATTAGTCTGAAAATCCTACACTCTCCTTTTAGACAAAATATTTTTTGTAATATATACGTAACAAAAATGAAAGAAAATGTAGTATCCAATTTGACAGTGGGATAATATCTGCAGCATTGGAACATTTTTTACTAATCCTGCATATTATCAAGGTAGGATTTAAAGTTAAAGGCCCTTACAATAGCGCAAACACATTTTAACACTGTCAAAACCATTTCCGTGACATTTCGTTTCAACGGGGAGGGATGTCATTCTCATTTGTTGTTTTTTCTCCAAGAAAAATTCATTTGTACTCAAAATGAGTGACTACGTCACTAAAAAACAATAGTTCTGAAATTTTAAAGAGCAGATATGATTAAGAAGATTTGTTATATAAACGGGTAAACTAGACGTAGTAAAGAGCCCGCCGTTAAATGTACAACTGAAGTCCAGTGAGCGCATCTGTGTTGTATTTCTGTTTATCTCATCGAAGAACAGGCATGTGGCCCGCTCGCGCGTGGGCTGTGTGGTGTTTCTCAAACACGGTATCACTGCTGTAGTGCATACCCATGAACGCTCGTCAGAGAGAGAGAGAGACGGGGGGGAGAAGAGAGAGAAAGAAAGATGGCAGTGCCTATGCTCTATGCTGTACACGATTTTTAATAAGATTGCATTTTTGGGTGTTAAACAACCTTGATTAACAAATAGTTGCAATAATTCATTAATAAAAAATAAAATTCAACTTTAATTGTTCCATTCTTTTCTTATTCATTCCTTCTTCATTTTCAGAAAGGGGGTAGATTACCAGTGCGCTACACAAATTCTTAATTATATTTATTTTATTTTTTCTTTCATGCATTCTTTTATTATTGGTTGGCTCATTCATTCATACATTTTTCTATTCTTTTATTTGTTTTTTCAATAATTCATTTAATCTGTAGTCACTCTTTCCCACTCATTTCCACCCACTAGCTCACTCCCTCTCACTCTCATGCATTCATTCACATAAGTACGAATATGTCCATTTTTTGACACATGCATTCTCCAGCTACATCGTTTCTTCCATTTCTGACTCATTCACGCCGCATGAGATGTTCGCGGAGTGGTCAAGGCTGCGCTCACCTGGTGACGGAAGATGACGCCCTCCTTGGCCAGCGCCTTCACCAGCAGCATGCTCTGCTGGTAGTGCACGGTGTCGTCGGCCGTGCCGTGGATCAGCAGAAACATCTTCTCGTTGAGGTTGCCCGCGTGCTTCGTCAAGTCCGCCTCGTCGTAGCCGCGGTAGTTGTCCGTCAGGTTGGGCGTGCCCATGTACCGCTCTGTGAACGCCGAGTCTGTGAACACCAGAGATTTAAGTATCATGAAATTGGATAATTGTTAGTTGAAATACTTTATTCGTTCATATTTTACGAGTAAAATATCTGTTACCTCACGCAGAACCCTAAACGGTGAAGTCAATAAACGTGGTTTCTTTAGGTTCTGGTGCGTAGTAGTTTGTCAGGAGACGTAAGGGAAAGGATAAATATTTAATACATATGATTGGCATTAGTGATTCGATACCTCTGAGACATACTGAGATTCTGAAACTTATCTCTTTCTTGTTCATAAGGCGAAAAAGCAAATTGAAAATATTTAAATATAGACTCTGAAGTTTTGAACTAGTGAAGGTGTCAGATAAGCGATTGCAGAACAGATTAGTAATATTGTGTTATGTTAAAGCGAAAACGTTTTTGGTTAGATTGAGAACAGTTTAAATATAAATGTGGTTAAATTAATCTCACAGTAATGGAAAAAAACATCTTAAAAACGCTTGCTGGAGAGATCTCGGAAGCCTTGGAAACGTTCCACACAATTTTTTCATTAATTGGCGGAGGCTATCATTTTCTATTTTGTTATAGTCCATGCGTAAAATTAAATGTGTGATCGCATCACACACGTGTAATCTTAACTCTTAAGAAAGATACTAGATCGTATTGAGTTGATATGCTTTTGGACAATGAAAGAAGAACATCTCATTCCTTTCGAGAAAAATTATCATTTGTACTTCTGAATCCCGTAAACGTAACTTTCAACAGAATCGATATTCTTTAAGGCAAGAAATATGCTAAATTTCATTACATTTAATGTAAAACCGAGATCTTAAAATATTCGCTAAGAAGAAAACAATTAAAAGTAAAAAAATATGGAAGAATGAATACAGACTCAAGAGATTTTTAGCAAATGGAAAGAAAAAAAAATAAGAGGAAGTTCTGAGCTCTTGTTCCTAGAATTTTTACGTGAAGCGTACAAACATATTTGAGATCACACTAAATTAACACAAAACCGTATATTTAAAAAATAAAAATATATTAATGATTTATCATGATAAACCTTAACCAAAATGCCATAAATGGAAATGCTTTCGATTATTTTGGCAAATTGCAATACCAAAAAAACGATTTACTTTGAACTAGCGGTACATTGTCTTGGGCTAAAAATGACCGAACTATGTGTGCTACAAGGATGAGCATACCATATAACAGGTGTTCCTTCAAATGCTCACAATTGATGAAGCTAGCCTATTTATATAAACAAAATTAGTGTATCTTTGTGATTCAAAATAACTGCCTATTTGTAACCTCATATGATTGTTTATAAGACGTAAAACAAACTACAAACCAAAAAGTTATGTGTACACTCTTTCGTTTTCCGCGACTATCTCCACAACCTTGAGTAAATCTACTAAAATTAATGCACCATTTTTGAAAATCCAAACAAATTTCTAATAAATTAATTTTGATTCATTTAGGTAGTCTAATTAGATGTTGAATAATTGGATATCAACTTTATTTCTAGGCCGGGAGTGAGCAATAATACAGTTGTACGTGACATACTTTTTATACAGTTATACTTTTTCAGGCCGCTTTTCTGGAGCTCTATCATCTTCCCCCATAAAAGCAGGTGTACCCCAAGGATTTGTTCTCTCTCCCGCACTATTTAATCTTTATACGGCCGATATACCAACCACCTTACACACCTCCATTTCACTGTTTGCTGATGATACCGCTATATATTCCTCAAACCTTGATATTACCACCGCACAAGAAGACCTGCAACATCACCTTTCTCAGTTCTCCGACTGGGCCAAGAAATGACTCATCCGGATAACTTCAGCAAAAAGTCAGGCCAAAATCTTTACACTCCGCAGACGAAAAATCTTCCCTCTCTCAAGTATAAAGGAGAACATTTTTCTTGGCTCGCAAACAACAAGCCAGTCAAATATATAGGAGTAGTTTTTAAAAGGAAGCTCAGTTGGAAATCAAATATTCTTCACAGAATAACTCTGGCCACCCAAAGAACGCTCCAATTACACTCCATACTCAAAAACTCTTCACCCCTACGACTTCTTGTAGCTTCTTATCTATGCCAATCAATGATTCGTCCAATATTATCCTATGCTTCTCCTATCTGGGCCTCAGCCAGCAAATCAAATATTAAAAATATCAGATTTTCCCAAATAACTTCCTCCGAACCATTACAATACCACCCTGATTTGTACCTAACTCCCAATTGCATATCGAACTCGGCATCACTTCGATCTCCATCCATTTCTCCCTCCTATCCACTCGCTTCTACCTTAAAATTTCCCAGATTCCCTCAGCCGTACATTTCAAAATCGGAAATCAAAATCCTCACCACAACAGACAAAAGCGGAAACTACTGCGGCAGTTCTTCGACTCCTTCTGATCGTCATGTACCCGATGTGACTTTGTACATTCAATCCATGTACTCTGTGTATTTATCTGTGAATATTGTTCCTTAAACGAGGCTAAAATAATTCATTGTACCCTTAAGTATCGTACTCGGCTGCTGAGGGCCTTCGGGCCAAGCAGAAATAAATGAAAAAGTTGTACGTGGGAATGATTGTGGTAGCGACAATGATCGTAGTATGGCGGAGTCAGGTTTGGTAGGGTGAGGGATGCAGGGCAGGATGAGGAAGGGCAGGGTGATATCGGGATCAACGAGGGAGAGGCCGGGCAGAGCGGGGGATGGGATGGTAAGCTTGGATAGGTTGGGTATTCATTATACATAGAATTAACTTTTTCTGTCCAATTTATATAATAATCATATATCAATCCCTTTCAGCCAAAGGCCTCCTATTCGAAAATAGGGGAGAGTACATCAGATGAGATAATTCTGATGATTATCTGATGATTACACTATTACAATTCTGAAGATAACAATCATTCAATAAATGTCTGTAATTAATAAATACGCGAGAAGACTGGTGCTTCGTCTAGCCGTCAGTGTGCAGTTTTTGAAATCGCCGCCAAGTTTAGTACACAGAGACCTACAAATCGGACAAAGCAACCCGTTTTGAGGTATGTGGCAGAAATTGGGCTGCACGTCATTAGAATTCGTCGACTTGTGAACGCAAATCCTAGGTCGGAGGCGTGAAACGCAGTTAGTTTCAGCCGATTTGGGTCAGTGCACAGGACGGCGGCGCGGCGCCGCCCTCCCGGTTATCGGACCGTTTTCCGTGACGCGGCCTTCGCGGCGGTTTGGCGGCTGAGGAAGGCGGTATCCGCTTTCATGAGAAACCGCGTTTTATGCAAGTTAAGGCAATGCACAACGAGCAGAAATGATTATTTTTAAAAACTTCTCTTTCCCGCGCCTTTCCATAGCAGATAACACGTCGTTAAGAGCGAAAAGTGTGAGGAAAGTGCAGACGCGAAATATTGGATTTAGATAAGAGTAAATATGTTCCTTCCTTATCGACCTATACATAACCGCGAGTAAAATTTCATAATTCTGTTGTCATTTTACGGTTTATTTACCGTGTTTTCGTTCATAAAAATAGGAGCAGTCAAACAAAAACATGATCACGTTCTGTAGTTGCATAATTATATTACTGCGATGAAACTAATTAAATATTTAACTGGAAGGGTACCGTCTCTGTCCACGCGAAGACGTTCAATTTGAGTATCAAAATTAAGACTCAAAATTAATTATTAGATATTATTTTCTTTGTTCGTTAAAAATAGGTAAAATTCATAAAATAAACTAATGGTGCTGAAACAGCACCTTTCTTGCAAATATTTTCACGGTAAATTACGCAAAAAGTATTGAAATTTTTGAAAAATTGAACATGACAATATTTCAAAACCTTTTAAGGAGCAGATTTCATGAAAGGAAAAATCTCTATCTTTAATATTTTAGTTGAAGGAAGATTCCGAAAACATTTTGAACTTTTGAAATAAAAAAAAGTTATTAACGAACATCAGACCTACACCACTCTATTAAACATCCTTCTCACTAACCAACAACAAAATTGAATAAACTACAATGGAGTCATTTAAAAAAATTAAAAAAATGTCCCAGGGGCTTTACGTAATGAATCCCTAATATTAAAATATCAATTTCAAATTCAAAGGGTCGCGATATCCGCCAGATCGATGCGGCAATATCAATTTTGGAGAAAATCAGCTTGACGGTTTAGCCGCTAGCGTTGTTCACAGACGGACGAACAGAATGATAGAGGGAAAGACGTGATGCCGCCATTCGAGTTTTTGACATCAAGTATCCACAAAACATGGATTCTGGCTATGCCATTTATTAGAGGAATTTTTCTAAATTTAGCAACTACAGTTTTTCGTTACCAGGGCCCGGTAATAAGAATTTTTCTGTCGAAAATTCGCCGATTTTTCGCGCAGCATTACAATTTCTCTCTACTTCCTAGCGAGAAAGTAAAAATTGAAGGGAATTATTTTACAAAACTATTATACAAAAGTAAAACTTCAATAGATGAGTTGGAAGATCATTCGCACTACGGAAGCGATGGCACGAAGCCAGGTCGTTTTGCCGTCAGGGTTACAACTGCTTGCAGCCGCTCAGCCAGCGTTTGCGTGTTTTCATTATTACTCATTGCAAACCTGTTTTCTTCGCAATACCTGATAGAAATTCAGAATTTGTAAGTACTTGTCTCCATTTCATTACATCTATGCCTTGTCATTCAATGGTTCAGGAAAAGATCTTTATCAGAGTCATTTTCTGTACGCAAAAATTGCATAAAGACTCTAGGAAAGTTCAACTTACTCGTGAATCCTGCTCAAATATTACAAATGCAAGAAAGCACTGTGGCAGAAAATACCGTCGGTGTTGAAAAGTGATACATCTCAAAAACCGTAATTTTTTTCGAAAAGTGAAGAAAAATATTTATGAAATGGTATATTTTACTAATAAGAATTTCATACACCGTAGTTTTTACGCCAGACAGTATATAGAATAAACTCTATCTTTTATCACTAATAACGGACCCACTCAGGATAAAACCGTTC